AAGCACTATGAAGCAATATATAAATCTAAGTGCTATTGCTATTGTATTATATATCAGTTCTTTCCTTTAAAAAATGCCACAGGAAGATTCCTTATATTTTCCATTCCATGGTTGGAGACAAGTCTTCAAACCCAAAGGGAAAAATCAGGTCTTGGATATGCTTCTATAGCTGGGTTTTGCCAAAATCAGATAATCTCAGCTCTTGAAATAGGGTTGGGTTGGCAACAGGAACCTGGATCCAAAATATTCCTAAAGTATCCCACCTACAGTAAAATATCCCTGCTGGGGATATTTAAGAGAGTAGGCATATTTAAAACAATTTTCAATTTGATCTATACTTTTCCATCCCATTCCTCACAGTGAGAAAAAAGTGGAGAAAGAGATCCCTTCCAAGAAGAGAGTAATAATGTTTTTATATCTACTTTGCCAGTTTGCACCTATCAGTGGATTTTTCAGAGTAGTCCAACATTTAAAATTTCTTTTAATTATGCAGACCATCTGTGCTGGAAAAAAACGTGGCTTTTTTTTTAACTAAATCTTCCTTCCTAAGAAGGCTTTTGATAGACCTGGATGATAAATATGTTTACCTTCCACAAATTTATTATACTAAACTGTTCTTTAATTGTGCAAGGTCATTACAATATTGCTAATGTTATTTCCAGTCCTTTTCCTAACGTTCTCTAGTGTGGAATCTGCCTTTTTTCATAGCTGCTGCAGCTTGAGTTCACATTTTCATGACCCTAATATTTTGTTCTTACTTAGTTACACACATCTCAGACCACCATCAGTTTATATGTAAAGTTAGGACAGTTTGCCCCTGCATGCCTTGTTTTGCCTACATGTTTAAAACTGAGCCACATTTGCCTCTCAATGTCGATTCACCAGTTTGAAGAGATTCCTCTGGAGCGCTTTATGGTTGCGTTTGGTTTTTACCACCCTGAACGATTTGTTATAATTTGCAAACTGGTCTTGCTCAGGATTTCCTCCTTCCCAGTCAAGATCGTTATGAACAAATTAAGAAGCACAGCTCCCCATACAGCTACTTGAAGCATTCTGGTTTTTTTTCTTTCTTCCTGTGAGAAAATTGGCCATCTACTGCTATTTTTTGTTTTCTGCTTTTAGCCAATTGGCAGCCTATAAAAGGGCAGATTCTTTTATTGTATGATTGCTAAGTTTACTCAAAAACTTAGTTCCTAGTTTTTACTCAACGACTTTTGGTGGGGATGTTTGTTCTAAGTCGAAAGCCACTTGGTAAAATTATTAGAGAGGATCATATTATTAAACTATATTAAATAACATCTATTATATGCAGGTGGCTAAATGAAGACATAGTATTTTATGACATCATGTAAAATTGCAGGTTATAAATTAAACAGAACCAAGATGAAATTAATGGAAATAAATATTTAAGACTGTGACAATGGAAAAATATTCAAATTGAATAACCTGAAATGATCAAGCAAGCCTGAAATGTTCAGAATTACAAACTCTAAATTAAGCACAGCTATAGGGGAAAATACACACACACACACACACACACACACACACACAAATTGAACAGTGCTTGACTTCACAGTGTTGTTTGATTAAAAATGATATAACCATAAAAATATTCCAAGTGAGATACCTTTAAAGACCTGGCATTCTGGCAAAAAAATTAACTGATTTTGTATTATCAGATAATAAATTGAGGTAGAACTTGCAATACAGTAAAGATTGAAACCTGAAAGACTCATGTTAGATGCAAATATTATACAATACAATTCGGTAATGACATAATGGTAGTAATAAGGGCGATCACTTAAAACCAAGGACATGCAATTCTTTTCAGCCTAGAATTTCATTTACCTTTTGATGGTATTCCAGGGATCATATTTTAACAAATGGACAGAGCCAGAAAAAACAGTACATTACCAATAAAGGAGAATATGTGTAGCTGAGGGTTGAAATGAGGGGTCCTTAGTGCTCTATGAGCTTGGTTATTTTCTTGCAAACTGTTCATTACCCAAACTAGGTAATATCAGTACTAGTCAGTGCTAGACTAGCACTAATGATATTACTTAGTTTGGGTAATGAAACATCCGCAAGAAAACAATCAAGCTCAGAAAGCACCAAGCTCAGAGAGCACATTTGATTAAAAAAAACTTAAATTACTTTTGAAGCACCCATTCTTACCTTAATTAGTTTGGTGTCAACTTTTACAGAGACTCTACTAAGACTTGGGCTGGGGGAGTAGCAAAATTATCTTAAGATATTAAATTGCATATCCTCTTCCCAAGTATAATAAATATTGGAATGAAATGTGTGTATGTGTGTGTGTGTGTGTGTGTAATCTTATAATGACTCTTTCAAATAGTGACTCTTTAAGATTAGTATTAAATACATTTTTAAAAAATGAACTTTAGAAGTAAAAATGTTTAAATGTCTGTTATTAAACATGCCTGTCTATTTTGGACAAAAGCAATTACAATATTACTTTAGTATATTAATGGAAATTAATATTTACAAGTGTAATGTCAAACTCTATTTGGGTTGCTTTTAAAAAGAATTAGTAAATCCATGATGTGTAGTGTATAAAAATGTTACTTATGTAATCATATTTGCATATATAAGTGAAGATTGGTTAAACAGGCTTTTTATCTAAAATCCATGTTATTTTTTTCAGTGAGATGCACATCAATCAGTGAAAACTAATTTTGAGGGCTGCAGAATTAATCACAATTAATCACAGGAAAATTCAGAAAAATGCTACTAATTATATGTATGGATTAGTAAATTGCAGCAAACAATGCAATTACAGAAAATCAGGCAGATTGGCACTAGTAAAATCCAAGATTTTTGAGCAAATAGAATCTATATATTGAATATTGTACTGATTATTCAAGGAAATTAATGTCTAATAATGTTTCCATATTTCTCAATTAACTATTTTCACAGAATTTTAATGTAATATTAAGATGCATTTTCATTTTATTACTATATAAGAATGGATAAATTGGTTTTGTACATTATTTGTATACTGAAATGATTAGTATCATTTTCTTTTCCTTATTACAGTTTTACTATTGTTTACTCAGTGGTTTTATTTCAACAATAGCTAAAAATACCCTCCAAAAATTATACATATAGACTGACACATTCATAAAATGTTAATTAAATATGTACAAGGGACATAATTGGAGAATTAATTAGCAACCATATATACCAATAGACAGCAATTTTGTTGCCTTGTTTATTTAGAGGTTACATCTTAGCTAGAAAGCACTGAGGGCACGGCCCATCTCTGGAATTGATGGGATTCTTACTGTGAAAGAAACGTAATAGATTTAAATTGCTGAAGTCCATCATGTTTTTTATCCAAACTTTGTTATCCAAGTTTGATGAGATAACAATTTATCTCTTTGTTTCTCCCTGTCTTCAGTCACAATATCTATTTTAATGAAAAATGGAATTCCGCAATAGTTTTATGCTTCTAATTCCTAATTATTTTGCTGCGTTGCAGGTAACTGCACATCTTTGCAAAGTAAGAAAGCTACTGATAATTTATACCCATAATAATTCCTTTGTTAAAGTATCATATTCATGGGCTTATAGCTCATTCAAATCACAGCCAATTTTCGCAGGAACACTCAAAGCCACTTCTTGACAATGAGAGAGGTTTTTCTACTAAATTTCAAAGTTCAGCCCTACCTATTTCCTATCTTGGCATTGTTCCAGGAAAAGGAGTTGCAATGATAATATTTAAAGTATATTTTCCCATATTTTACTTATATTCAAACATGATATGGACCTTTGTTGCAAACTCTTACCAGAAATAATCAATTCCGGTATGACTCAAAATCTAGAAAATTTGAGCTGCAAAATGAATGTTTCGGGAAATGATAGGTATCTAAAATTGGGGTGCTGGATTGGAAATGCTAATACAGGAATAACGGCATTGTAGTCACTGCTGCTTACATTGATATAGACACTGCTTCCAAGGATAGGTTGAAATATTAAAATAGGATGGCAATTCTAAAGGCAGGGAATAATACAGTCAGCAATGCACAGTGTAAAATCATGTTGATTGTGGGAAAAATAAAATTATTTTGCCTATGTTGCTGAGAAGAAGATGGTTGTATGGAGAATGCAGATGTGGTTAAAATAACCATACTGTTGTCCTGTATTTATATAGCAATCTCAACAAACATACACACGGGATTTTAGAACATCAGATGAGCAAAAAGGCAGGGCCTGATACCAAGTAATTGCATTTCTCTGATGCTTGACAGTGGACTGGGAATGCAAAAGAGGATTATGTGGACAGAATTCACTTAAACCATGTGAATAAGGACAAAGTGGGGCATTTCCTAGGACTCCTGACTTTTGTATAGCAAAGGATTTATTTTCCTAAGAGTGATGCCTTTCTTGTTCTGTATGGGAGCCTCCAAGAAGTCTGAATGCAGCATGATAGAATATGCTATTTGCACTATCCATTTCTTCCATTTTCAGGTCAGAGTTACAGCTGGAGCAGGATGCAGTGGCAGTGTTCCCTCAAAAGACCTCGAAGCAATGGAATAGTGTTTGACATCTCAAATCTTCCCTGCAGCTAAAAAAAACTAATACTTTATGTTGAACGGAGAAGTTTCAAAATAGGTAGTTGTTTACTTGAGGCAAGATCTTTATTTAGAGGAGCAGTCACGTATGCAACCCATCATCTTCCATAAGAAGTGGTAGAATGTATTTGACTGTACTTTTCTGATTTCCTGCTGCACATATAAATCAGATCAAAGGAAGCTTGGAGAGGTGACCTTGCTTGTTAGTAGTATTTGGGAAGGGGATGGATGGGGGTCCTAGAGATGCCCCAATGCTTCCTAGAAGAATGCATTGATACTAAGCCATTCTATCGAAATGGAGTGTGCATTTAAAATTTTTTTAAAAATGCTTTAGCCATGTTTGTTTAATATGGAGACTGCACTAGACACTTAATTCAGCACAAATTTGAAATTGTGATCTTTCAGGTTGGCATGACTACAGAAGAAATAGATTATTTGGTTCACCATGAAATAATCAAGCACAATGGTTACCCGTCACCTCTAGGATTTAAAGGTTTTCCAAAATCTGTTTGTACTTCAGTAAACAACGTGGTAAGCCATGGAATTCCTGACAGGTATTCATGTTTTTGTTATTGCAAATTAAGATTATGTGGCTACCCATGTCTTTTTTCCTCGTTACACACTCATAACATAGTATCCACTCAGCCTACTTAATATGCCACATTACAGATCATTACATATTCCATGTGGTTTGCATGGAAGTTCTCCTTTAATCCAAATGAATGGAGATGAATACAGCAGCCGGATTCGGTCACTGTATTTTATTAAAACCAAGTATCACCGGTTGCTGTGCAGTAAGAAAATGATGTTGGCACTTATCAAAGGAGGATAATAATAATAAAAGCAAAGATTATTGCTTCGCCATCTCTTTTCCCAGCATGGTACAGCACCTCAGTCTGGGATATATAATCAAAAACAGAAAAGTCACTCAACAGAAAAATTATACTAATTTTCTGGAAATCTAAAGGTGGAGTGTGTGTGTTAATTATACATGAATATGTTGCTAATTATTAATGAATATTACCTGTTCAGAAAATAAGAGGTGCCAAATGTCAGTCTTTCCATGATGATAAGATAATCATAATGGTGATTTTTGTTCCTTTGCTTTATATTATGGATTCTTTCTTTTATTTAAATTATTGTTTAGAGTTAACTTGAACTGGTAGGAATCTCAATATTAAATGTAGTTATCTCCTTTGCCTCCTTCCATTCTACTTGACAATTATATTGATACTTTTCATGTAGCTTTGAGGTATATGGGATAAAGTGTATTTGTTTTGTTACTCTGTCTTAACTAAGATTTGCCTGTCATCATTAAATGTTGTATCTTTTTTTTTCCCCTTTACCTTCTGATTATGCTTAAGCCGCCCTCTCCAGGATGGCGATATTATTAACATTGATGTCACAGTAAGTAATTTGTTTATTATTATTATTCCTTTGGATCGACTTTAAAAATTTATAACCACAGTAGGAAGAACACTAAATTACAAATGTGCAAGGGTGAGCTTGACAGTTTTACTCCAAAGCTAAGGCAAGAGCAGTTAGTTTCCTCTTTTGTTGTTATTGTTTTTTCCTCTCCATGCTTATTCTAACTAGACCTAGGCTTGACTTGGATTTAGGGCTGGAATCAGATTCACTGAGATCAGTGTTGGCCTAAGTGAAATGTCAGCCCAATCCTGCTATGTGTCATGTTTTTGAGAAGATGTAATTGTTATTGATCCACCGTGTAGTTAATGCAGAGCGCCCCAGTACTGGGGCAGCAGCTGAAGGCAGATATGTATGAGATGAGCTAACATGAAGAAAGCCGGCATTTTTCCTTCACTCTGCCAAGATTGATCTTCTTCTTCCTGCTGATTTTGAGTGGGGCCTGTCATTATCTTACTCTGTCATTAGAAGCTACATTGGCCTGTGTGTCAGTCTATTTGGACAGCAACCCTTTGGCTGGCTGTGTTCCCTACATTTATTAAAATCCTCAAAGGCAGCGTTGTGTTCTGTTTGTGGCGTAAGAGCCTTGAACTCTTTACTCATGAATGCACAACCTGATCCACAGCCCACTTAATCCAAAGTACTTGGGTATTCCCGTGGGATTTATTCCATTTCAACCCAATTCCTTGACTTAGCTGGCTTGTAGAACCCACTGGGTGCATAAAGTATATACGTGGACTTAAAACATGGACAAAAACAAAACATTTGCTATGATGAGTATTCAAAATAAAATGTAGTGATATATGAGCAAAAAAACAAACAAACCATAAAGGGTTTTATGTCCTGATTTGCATATCTTTAGAAAAAATATTTCAAAAAATGTTATGAACATATTTTTCTTCAACTCCTGAAATTTTGAATATATTTTCCACAGAATGTTGAAGATTGAAATCCTATGTGAATTGAACTTATAAACGTTGCAGTAACAAATGCTTCCTTGATTTTAATAATGGTTTTAGTTTTATCCCATCCTACAGTACCTGTCTTTTCAACTGTCTTTGTTTTTTTTTTTATCATAATCATTGCTTTCTCAGTGTTTGCTTCTTTGTCTCAAAGTCAGCTAATGGTAACTTTTAGAATATTGATCTAAAATGTCCACATAGCTTGTCTCTGTGCGTGTAACTTATGAATTGTAGCCATGGCCTGTACTTTTGATTATGGTTTAGATAAGATAGTTAGATTGTATTAATTTGTGATTGGGTGAAAAAATCTGTGTTCAGATCCTCAGAATATTTTATTTTATTTTTTTTCTCTCCAAACAAACTGATCCATCCATTCTTATTCTTCAGTAGTGTATCTTCCAGGAACTGTTTCCTGCTTTTCTGTTTCGAGCCCATTCTGTTTCATTCAGAATATCAGAAACCCTTTCTCCTAGAAGATTGCTTTTCATAAAATTATAACCACCACGGAAATAGCCAGATTGACCAATTTTGGGAGAAAAACAATATGTTCTGGGGAATATCAGTATGTTCTATAACCAGAATGTCAAATTTTGCATGTCCCTTTTTGTGTTTCCGGTTATTTGATTAAACATGCCTACCATAATCCATACAACACTAACAATTTTAATATCAACTTTTTAAGTGATTCAAAATGTATATATAAACCTTAACCTCGAGAGTTACATGGTGACCTGATAAAGGAGAATGGGGGGGGGGAGCTAAAATCAGCTCCCACCAAAATATACATTCCCAGAAAACTAAACTCTCAGTCCAGCCTTAACACATTTAGAAGGTACTGGGAAAGCAAAGCAAGATAAAGAAACATGTTTGTGAAATACTGCCTCTTTGTTTTCTCAAAATCCCCATTGTCTTTGTAGTCCTGCCCCATCATCTCATGTATCCCATTGCCTGCCTTATTGACTTCATCAGATACATGATGTACTATATATAGTCAAATACTTGTGGTTTATAGCCAATGAAATACCTTGCTACTTGCAAAATGTACTCTAATTTGCTAAATCTTTAAAGAGGGGCTGTAGCCCCTTCTGTCTTTAGACCTGCTTTTGCCTCCAGCATTGCCACCACTAAACCAGGTTTTGCTTCAGTCTAATTATGTCCTGGTCTCCAATTCAAACGTATTCTTGAGAAAATTTTCCTACACCCAATTTCTCCAATAGATTATAATCAAGCTTATACAAAGCTATTTCATCCTGCTAAGCATGCATCTTTCACCTGACAGGGTAGAGGCAATTTGGAGTAGAAAGATTTGGAGTAGAAAAAAATGAAGACTGAGTAAGAAAGAAACATTTTGTTCCTCACCCAATCATGGCCACCTACACTGTGCATACGTTCGAGGGATCTGAATCTTACTTTATGAAAACTGCTTTTCTACACATTGATGTGAAATGTGTCCTTCTCCAGGAATACCTAAGTTTTCCAGGTGCCTTTGATGGGATAATGTCAAGTGTATTAGGGCACCGACTGGGGAATTTCATAAACAGTGGCATAGGCAACCTGATGCTCTCCAGATGTTTTGACTCCTATAAGCTCTGATCATTCATCATGCTGACTATATCTTGTGGGAACTATAATCCAAAACACCTTCAGGACATCAGACGGTATGCATTAGGGCTATGCATATGGCCTTTTTTTAGACTTCAGCTTTCAAAACTTGGAGGGAGTCCTGGGGCCTCCAGCTGTGCATTGCTGGTCCAGATGTTTGTTGTTCATTTATTTATACATCCAGTGACTTGCACATTCTCCCATGGGCTTGTTGCCTAAGGATTTTTCTCTTTAAAGCTTGAACACCCCATTCTCAGACATTTCCTGTAGTTGTCATAGTGCACATAGTGGGTCACTACAGCTGTTTGCATGATGAAAGCTACAGGAACTATCTAAAAATAGAAAGTTCAGCATCTCTCCAGATCTCGCAAGGTAATCAATTCCGCTTCCTACCTGTGATTGCTGCTTCCTGTGTGTGTTCACTGTTTCTTGGTTTTCTTTGAATTAGCCATTTAATTTCAATAGCACCTGTATCCCAAAGGTGCTTTTCAGAAGGCAACTCGACTTTCTTGGTTTTTTTTCTTTGAAAACATTTCACTTCTCATCCAACAAGCTTTCTTCAGTTCTGACTGAGTCAGAACTGAAGAAGTTTCTTAGATGAGAAGCAAAACATTTTCAAAGAAAAAAATCAAGGAAGTCTAGTTGCCTTTTGAAAAACACCTTTGGGACAACCATAGATAATAGCACCTATGCTTGCAGTGGAAACTAGAATCTTCTGATACTGCATGTACCAGATTTTTACCATTTCTTCACTCATTGGATGCCAGTTTCTCCTTGCTTTGGGATCTCCTACCCATTGTTTCCTAGCAATAATATGTGAATTCTACTGAATGCAGTGCCACTTACTTTTGAGTAAACATTATTTTGAAACTGAGAGCAAGAGTCAAATTACACAATGCATTCAGTATATGAATGCTGCTCTCTTAATGTTTTTGTTTCACCCAGATGAAGACCATAGTATGCAATGAGTGGAAGTTTAATCCCTTTCCATATGTGACTATTCCCTTCTGTTTTAAAAAAAAAAAAATATGCCCGGATATGCTGCAGCTGAATAAGAAAATGCAAAAAACCCCCAAAAACTTTGGCATGCACTTCAGCCCACGTTTACTTGCTTCGTTCTCACTAAATTCTAGTTAAAAGAACATTTCAAATATTTCCTTATCAGAAAATCTTTGCTCTTACAGTAAAATGATGGCAAGTTAAACATCCAAGAAAAACCACTTCTACAATTATTGTTTATCCTTTTTGTATAATGATTGAAAAGATTGCTGCTCTGTAATAATTTGTTGAATTTAATGAATTTGAGGAAGCATTATTTGATCTTTCCAAATGGCATAACTAAGCCATTTTATAGGTAGAAAAAACTATTATGAACCAAAAAAGGACAATTACAGTAGATGACATTTTAGAATAATTTGTTTGTGATTGTACACAAGATAAAATGATTAAATAATCTATCAAATGTAAATGCTCTTCTATAACTGCAGATTTTTAAAGAATAATGAACTAAAGTTCACTTATTTTTGAAAAAATAGAGAGTACTTGAAACATGTTTTAGACGCTTCATTCACCTGAGCTTCGTATATTGTTTAAAGAATTAGAGAAACCAATTAGTTTACTTCAGTGGCCATCAACCCATTACAGCTCTTAACCAATAATGATCACACAGTTATTCTATACATTAATAGACAATCATAATTTAGAAAATAATAATTATTCTTATGACCAAATTTTATGTATATTTACTTGAGAATCTGTCTCTCTGTATAAAAGGAGTATTTTAATGGAAGCTGGTGTAGAATATCATAAATTTTTGCATGGGGTTGTGTTTAGTAGCTTTCATTAATTTAAAAAAAAATATTTGAGAAAGCAAGAGGCAGCCAAAACAATGCTTCTTAGCTACACTTTTGTTGATCAGTTATTTCAATGTAGTCTTTAATTCCAGATATAAAGCTTTACAGTGGTTAGCACTAAAATACTCATCTGTTGAGGAATTTATAAAACACTCTAACATAAAATCTTTCAGTTACTGAAAGTTCCACTTCCATAAAATCACAATGATAAGAGAAATAATTTTTTTGTCTGAGAACATTGTTTCCTGTTGCATGAAAATCCATGTCTGGACTTATGAAAGAAGACTATCAAATAATCTTTTTTTAAAAAAAATATCAAATGACAATAAGCAATGGTAAATGCTGGCTTAGATTTGAATTAATAGAGTCCAAAAGTATTGAAAGCATAGTTGTTCATACCAATAATAACTGAGCCTAGTTCTCAAATACAGTATTTCTTAATTTTAAGACCATTTGTAGGAGGGATTCCATTATTCTCAAATGACTGTTAAATATGAAAGTACCATTATGACAGTTTTGTCATTTTGCTTAATTATACCAATGCACATATTATATAAATTGCCATGAATGTGGCAAAATTAAACACAAATGTAACTGCCTCACCCAAATTAATTGTTATGCAGCAGAATTATCCTTTATTTGGGGAAAATGTTTGGATGCAAATTTGGTCTGTTGCATCCAAAGTCTGCTGTGGGAGTCCATTAAACAGAGGCTTGACTGCATAAGAATAAATAAGTACTCTCTGCTGTTCTGCATAATTATTTGCTTTTTATTTATTTTGCACATGTGCTAAAGCAAATGACAAGTGTAGTTCATGATAGATTTTTAAAGAAAACTTGTAACCTGTTCCATAGGCCATAAGTACTACCTACTGCACCTTTTAACATTTTCTTGAAAGTTAGGCCTGCTGTTGTCTATTCTTTATTGGCTTACTTTATATTGTCTGTCACAAGCAGATCTAATCTGACATAACAGATAATAGGAGAACGTTCACACAAGAATCATGAGATTAATATGTGTGTACATTCAGTCACTCCTCAGTAAATGAGGAAAGGATCTCAACTGAAAATTATGGGTGACATATAAATGTCTCTTCTTACACCGATGACCAGCTGTGGCTAAAACAGTAGGTGATGCTTCCCATTCCCTACTTTGCTCTTCCTTCTTACTGGAGAATTTGTCCATAGTCAAATCTTTTTCTCAATTTTAATTTTTCACTATGAGATCCTATGGACATCAGTGGGACCTGCATAACTTAATTGTACAGAACTGCAGCCTTAATTTGAAATTATTGCTTTCGTGGCTTGCATCTTGGAAAGAAACCTATATTTCCAATGTTTTTGTGATGCTGACTGTCTTCACAGCTTCTTGTATGATCAGAGTTACAGAGAAAATTTACTATTTCTTTCCCCTCCTTTTTCAAAAGCCTATTCCCTGTTTGATTGGGGGGTTTTGGTTTTGCAAGTTAAGCTGAACTGCCCCTGAAATACACCCAAGGTGTATCCTAGTTAAGCTTCCATCTGAGAGCCACTGAAAAAGTATTTCTTTTTACATTTCTGCATCTGTTTAGGTGTACCTCAACGGCTACCATGGTGATACATCCGAAACACTGTTAGTGGGGAATGTGGATAAGGCTGGTCAAAAGTTAGTGGAGGTTGCCAGGAAATGCAGAGATGAAGGAATTGCAGTTTGCAGACCTGGGGCTCCTTTCTCCGTAATTGGAAACACAATCAGGTAAGCCTTATGCTGAGGAGTAATGAGAAAGCTGCCCAAATAGGACAAAGGCTATTGTTGGCTTGGCTTAAAGCTGATGGCACGTTTTATGATTCAGAACCATCATTTCAGTCTGATATCACTATGTGTGAACTCCATTGTTCCCCAGGGTGGTAAGAAAGGATTTTAAATGGTGAATTATGCAAGACCAGGTCAGGAAAACTATCTGGAAAAAAAGAAGAAGTAAAAAATGTTTCTAAATGTGACTGCACTCGCCCTTTCCCCAATATAATCACTAGCAGTTTGGACTGCCTTAATACAATATGGCTGTATTAAGGTTTATGTAAGTTCATCTGTTCCTTGCATGATAACAAATAGTGCCAGTAAGGTGTTTGCTAATGTGATGAAGGACTTGAAAATTTATCCTTTATGCCAAAAACATGAGTGTGAAAAAATGATGGCTCCTTTGGGGCAGTTCTTTCTCCTGGCCTTGATAACACTGTATTGGCCTAGCGTGTTCATCTTGATTAAAATATATTAACCAGGTTTTTCATAGCTTCTGCATGGGTCTTTTTTTTTAAAGAATCCATCTTGCTTTTTGCCTGTGTTTACTAATGCTATTAGGAGAGGCATATAAGTATCTTAAGGCTATAAAACATGCATTGCTCAGCATCCTGAGAATATGCTATTTTTATACTCCCCCCCTCCCCCAAATGCTTTACAAAAAATAAGAAAAGAGAGCAGCAAAATATCAGTTTGATGTATTTATAGCTTTAAAAATATTGTAACAGAGTCTGAATCAAACTTTAGTAAAACCACTTTGGGTTATATCCGAGAAGCTTTTATTGAAGACTTTGTATAAAATTGTGTTTTTGACAGTTTTAAATTATAGGCTAACTAGCCTGGGGAAAAAGGATAGTGTCTTTTCTGTTCTTTCATAGGAAATGTTGAATCAGACCCCTACTGGGAAAAGAAATTTAATGCATATCTCACTATCTTACTGTCCATGAATATAATAGAACTGAATTCAAAATGTAGTTTTATTTTTGCAAATGGGATGAGTCGATGGATGCACCTCCGTATTTTTGAACACCTAGAGTTCAACAAATTTACTGGTGGTACGCTTGCATTTTAACAAAATTTATGCTTGAGTCGAAGGGGGCAGAGAAGACAAGATTCTTATTCAAGCGTTCTCTCGAGCACGGCATTCATGGCAGTGTCTAAAGGGCATGTCAGCCTTTGATTCTCTCTGAGAGGTAATTATCCTTTTCCTGTCACAGAACAACAAATGATAGCTAACTACAGAGGCACATTTGCAGTAGTCACATTCATCAACTGCAGGGGGAAAAAAAATTCAATTTAATTGTGCAACACAGCTGCACACAGGCTTTTTGAGCATTTGTGTTGTTCTCCCTGTCTCGCTATTCCTTCCTACCAGATCTATTTTTTAAACTTTTTTCCCCTCCTTGCTTTTTTCTCCCTTCCCCCTCCTCTTTATTTTTTTATTTTTTTGTCTCTTCTTCCATTTTTACTCTCTGTACTTTCTTGTTAAAGTAATTTTCCTTTGTGACTCTCATTCTTTTTTCCCCCCCATTGAAGGCTATGAATGTAGAAAATTATCACAATTACTCATATAATTGAGCCTCTTTGTAGCAAGTGCAACTCCAGTAGCCTTTCTCCATCATGAAAATGGTTTCATTATAGGGTTTTTCATATTCTCTGACACCATCTACCCAAAGGAACAGGCGTGCAGATGAGATGTGCTAGGAATAGGGTAGATCAGGAAGGTCACAGTGGGAATAATTAGCTCTGCTATGGAAAGAGCATCTAGGCCTTTTACTGCTACATAAATGTACTGTCCATGGCTTTTAGGCACAAAAAAACTTACTAACAAATGGAGCTCCCGCCTACTACTTTGAAAAAAAGATTTGTATCAACACTACAATTTTCCATCATTAAGACTAATAACACAGAGCCTCGTATACATCAAGGGGAATAAAAAGAAAAATCTCACATTCAAGTGGCGACTGGGTGCTGACCTTTGTTCCCCTTTTTTGTGTACGACTTAACTCTTTACAAAAAAGAGCCACACGCCACACCAACAGGCAGGTGAACTCCAGCCAGTGCTGGCGAAGTGCTGTGTTCAACTTGAAAAATCGGAGAAAGCTCCTTGTTGGATAATGTGTTTCATTAGATTCACTCCATTAATTCTGGCTACATTAAAAGTGAGACACAGAAGGATCACAACTGAAAGTAGCTTTAATTTTTCCCTTCTTTCCTTCCTTCCTTCCTTCCTTCCTTCCTTCCTTCCTTCCTTCCTTCCTTCCTTCTTCTCCCCCACTTTTCCTTTACAGTGTTGATGCAGAGGTCAGTATTTTCGCAGCATGGAAATATGTATGCAAAGCTCTGTTGAAAAGCAAATTAAACCAGATTGATCCATAGTCACAATTGCAGACAGAATAACAAATCACAATCAAGTCGCTCCCCCCTTCCTCCTTTGATATTTCCTTTTGAATTTATATATGCTAGTTTTATTTAAGTCTTCATGCAACTAAAGATTTTTCTGGCCTAAGCTGTCATATATCTCTGAGCTTTGATACTTTTAAACTCGCATTAAAAATGTATAAAATTTTCATCATGTTTATGGTGATACTTATTAAGATCTAATTGTATGTCTTCTATCTGCCAGGTGTTCAGAATGTTTGTAGATTTTTTAATATTTTTTTAATATATTAATATATAGGATTGATGTGAATATGGTCTGAATTCCAGAATATCCTGTAATTTTATGATTTAATCTTAAAGGCTCATGGCTTAATTTGGGCTAGATTCAATCAAATAAATGAAAATATTTATGAAATGTATATTGCACATTAGTCAATTCTTAGGTGAAAAATCAAACTGCTTTTGTTCAAATCCCTTACGTTCACCAAAATTCAAATGGAAAGTATTGTGATCATAACTACATAGGAATGTTCTTTACATATACCATAGCCTTTTTAATGTAATTATTACAATCATATCAATTACAGTTTTTAAAATAGAGAATCTGGATCTCTGAAACTGACTTATAGAACCAAACAAATATAAGCATAGTTAAATCAAGGCAGTTTTAATTCTGTTGTTAACATTATTGAGATAAGAGTATCAATAAATGGTTTCTAAATGTTTTAAATTATAAATACAATGTTTTGATATTACCTTAGAACAATACAAAAGCAGGGGTTTTTTTAAAAAAAAGAAATCTGTTTCTATCAGATTATGCACATTTAAACAATAAGTGGCTCAGGCAAAATAAGTCATTTTAATGTCATCAGTGATAGATTTTCTTTGACAGCTACTGTAAATTACAATTACACTCCTTCTCCTTTGAAAGTAAGCATTGCAATAAATTATCTTTTATTTCAATCCATCAAGACTGCCTTTCAGAAATGGAACACCTCAAATAAAAGTTCAGCAGTAGTGTAAGAAAAATATAGTAATTTGTGTTAGTTTGAAACCAAAAATGTACCTTTCTTTACAAAGAAAGTCCACAATTGTGGGTTTTCAAAAATATGGTTAATTGTACCTCATCATTCGTTGTCATTAGAGGGAATCCCTGAAATTGTACATTCCATTAGTCTAGGACTTTTATAGAAGGAATACCTTAAACTCCCCCAACAGAAAGTTGGATAAGTCAGTACAATACTACTGGTCAAATTAACATAAACTAATCTTTGTTTAAATAGCTTTAAAAATTAGATTATATCTGCATTGCTATTTGTGCTGTTGAGTTGTAGAGCTAAACCAAGGCAGCTAACTGAGAATATGTGATTCTGGGGCCCTTCAAATGCTAAGAGCTAGATCTTCATGTATTGATCCGTTTGCTTGTACATTGAGGCTTTCCTGTCCTGCCCATCCCCCCTCTGAGTGGTCCCAGAACCATTCAAGGAATCATTTGAGGCTATATGGACAACTTCTGTTTCTGATGCCACTAGTAGAAATTAGCATTTGATTCCATCGTATAGATGATAACCATGGCTTGGTCTCCTTCCACTCTCCTGGAGTGGCTTTCATTTTTCTCCCTCTTGATATTAAATCACTTAAAAGGAGTGTAGTTTTAAATCTGATAGTTATCATCGTCTTCAGATTTTTCCCTAAAGTAGTTTGCTATTAGTTGAAACAAGCAAATTTTTTGTTCCTCAGAGAAATAACATACAAAATCTAAAGAAAAAAATCTGTAAACTCATCTTTCAGACCAGAATGTGGATTAAAAAAGGAGCTTGATTCCAGCCATGGGAAATAGATGTCTATATGTAGAAATACCAGTTCAGTACTATATTTTCATGGGTAAATTGAAGCCGTTTTTTCTTGCACCGTAGTAACCTAGCTCTAATTTCGAATCAGTTCACAAAGGAAAAGGATATTGGTTCACATGGGGAAAACTGAGCAGCATCAACTAGTCAGATTTTTTTGAATTGTGGATTCATTGAGGTAGTTGGTTTCATGAACGTAATTATATTTTTAATACATTGTAACCACATAAGCTCAATTCAAGTATTGTTAACATGAGCTATTTTTCATTAAGAGTATACCCATTTATTTACTTTTATTAAAAAATATTTGTAGACCGTCCATTATCCAGGGGATCTTGTGACAGGTTGAAATTTGGCATGTGACAGATAATGCACTGTTTAAGCTAGAACAAAGATTGCAAGATAACTGTACTGCAGATTTGCAATTCCACTGTGTTTTCATGCATGCCTCTAATTGTTTCTTTACCTGTACTGACAGTCTAATGCTAACAAAGCTTTGGCTTGACCTATTATTTTGGTAAGCAGAAGGCTATTAAAATCTTTCAGAAAAGCAAATCCACGGTGAACTTGTGTGAGATAGTACTGTTGTATGAGGAAGTTCCAAGGTATGCCTTGTTGAATTGGTCCTTTGTCATCAATTTAAAAAAAACCAAACGGCTCAAATCAATTTCCTAAATGCTCATCCATATGTCCTGGTTGCCATGATATTAAGATATCTCACTGTTT